TTGCTGTGGTCAGATTTTCAATTTCTTCGTGATTCAGTTTTAGAAGATTATGTTTCTAAGAATCTGTTTCTTCTAGGTTGTCCAATTTGTTGGCATACAGTTTTTCGTAATAGTTTCTTATAACCCTTTGTATTTCTGTGCTGTCAATTGTTATTTCTCCTCCTTTATTTCTGATTTTATTTGAGTCTTTTTCTTGATGAATCTGGCCACAGATATACCAATTTTGTTAATCTTTTCAAAGAAACAGGTTCTGGTTTCATTGATCTTTTCATTTTTTCTCTCTTTCATTTATTTCTGCTCTAATCTCTATTACTTCCTTCCCTTTGCTAGCTTTGGGCTTTGGTCTTTCATAGCTCTTTTAGGTGTACGGTTAGGTCGTTTACTTGAGATTTTTCTTTTTTCTTGTGAGGCCTTTGTTGCTATGAAATTCCCTTTTAGAACAGCTTTTACTGCATCTCAAAGACTGAACCATTGTATTTTCATTTTCATTTGTCTCCTTGTATTTTTTTATTTCCTCCTTGATTTCTTGGTTGACCCATTCATTGTTTAGTAGCATGTTATTTAGCTTCCATGTATTGGTATTCTTTTTAGATTTTTTTTCTTGTGATTGATTTTTAGTGTCATACCATTGTGGTTGGAAAAGATGCATGATATGATTTTAGTCTTCTTAAATTTATTGAGACTTGTTTTGTGGCCTAAGTTGTGATCTATTCTGGGGAATGTTCAACGTGTACTTGAAAAGAATGTATTCACTGGTTTTTGGATGGAATGTTCAGTATATATCTGTTAAGTCCATCTGGTCTAATGTGTTGTTCAAATCCACTGTTTCCTTATTGATTTCCACTGATGTAAGTGGAATGTTACAGTCACCTGTTATTATTGTATCACTGTCAACTTCTCCCTTTATGTCTGTTAATTATTGCTTTATGTATTTAGGTGCTCCTATGTTGAGGGCATAAATATTTATAGTTGTTATATCCTCTTGTTAGATTGATCCCTTTATCATTATGTAGTGCCCTCCTTTGTCTCTAGCCTACAGTCTTTGTTTTAAAGTCTACTTTATCTGATATTAAGCATTGCTATCCCAGCTTTTCTCCTGCCTTTTGCATGGTGTATTTTTTATAGCCCTTCATTTTCAGTCTGTATGTGTCTTTAGGTCTGCAGTTAGTCTCTTAAAGGAGCATATAGATGGGTCTTGTTTTTTTTATCCATTCATTCACCTTTGGTCTTTTAATTGGTGCATTTAGACGATTTACATTTAAAGTAATTATTGATAGTTATGTACTTACTGCCATTTCGTTCATTATTTTCTGATTGTTTTTGTGGTTCTTCTCTTTTCCTTCTGTTGCTCTCTTCCCGTGTGGCAGTGTTATGTTTGGATTCCTTTCTCTTTATTTTTTGTGTACCTATTAAAGGTTTCTGATTTGTGGTTTTATTAGGCTTATATATTTTATCTTAGGTGTATAGCAGTCTGTATTAACTTGATGGCTGAACTTAGGTTCAAGCTTAAATGCAAAAACATTTTAAAAGTACTACATTTTTACTCCCCTTCCACATTTTATGTATATGATATTATATTTTACATCTTTTTATTTTGTGTATTTCTTGATTGGTTTTGTAGATATAAATGATTTTACTACTTTTGCTCCAGACTGGCTTTATAAGGGATTAATCTACTACACTTATTATATGTTTGCTTTTACCTATGAAAATTTTTCCTTTCATAACTTTCTTATGATTATGGCCTTTTCTTTCCACTCAATTTCCTTTTACATTTCTTGTAGGGCTGGTTTAGTGGTGATTAAATCCTTGAACTTTTGTCTGGGAAACTTTTTGTCTCTTTTTTTATTCTGAATGATAACTTTGCCTTGTAGAGTATGCTTGCTTGCAGGTCTTCCTTTCAGTACTTAGAATATATAATGCCACTCTCTTCTGGCCTGCAAAGTTTCTGGTGAAAAATCAGCTAATAACTTTATAGGGTTTCCCTCATAGTAACTTTTTTTTCTCTTGCTGCTTTTAAATTCTCTCCTTAGAGGCACCTGGGTGCCTTAGTCAGCTAAGGATCCAACTCTTGATTTTGGCTCAGGTCATGAGATTGAGCTCCCCAACTCATTGTGGAGTCTGCTTGAATTTTCTCTCCCTCTCTCTCTGCCCCTCCCCCTGCTTGTGTGCACATGCCCTCTCTCTCAAAATAAATCTTTAAAATTCTCTCTTTATCATTACTTTCTGCCATTTTAATTTTACATATCTTGGTGTGGACCTCTTTGGGTTAATCTTGTTTGGCGCTCTCTGTGCTCCCTGGATTTGGATACCTGTTTCCTTCCCCAGATTAGAGAAGTTTTCAGTTATTATTTCTTCAAATAAATTTTCTGCCCCCTTCTCTCTCTCTTCTCCTTCTGGGATGCCTATAATGTGAATGTTATTACACTTGATGGTGTTGCTGAGTTCCGTTAACCTGTTCTCCTTTATTATTATTCTTTTTTTCTTTTTGCTGTTCAGCTTGGTTGCTTTCCATTACCCTGTCTTCCAAATTGCTGATCCATTCTTCATCCTCCAATCTACTGTTGATTGCCTCTAGTGTGTTTGTTTGTTTTTTTAATTTCAGTTATTGAATTCTTCATCTCTGACTGGTTCCTTTTTATATCGTTGTTGAAGTTCCCATTGAATTCATCTATTGTTTTCGCAAGTCCAGTGAGTATCTTTATGACCATTACTTTGAATTCTTTATCCAGGTATATTGCTTATCTCCATTTCATTAGATCTGCTGCTGTGATTTTGTCCTGTTCTTTCATTTGGGACATATTCCTCTATCTCCTCATTCTGTCTTAGCTCTCCGTTTGTTTCTGTGTATTAGGGGATCAGCTATGACTCTTGGTCTTGAAAGTAATGGCCTTGTGTAGAAGAGGGTCTGTGGTGCCCTGTAGTGCAGTGCCTCCAGGCACCAGAACCAGGTGCTCCAAGCGTGTCTCCTATGTGGGCAACATACACCCTACTGTTGTGGCTGAGTTGCATTTGCCTTAGTTGTCTGCAATGACCTGCTTTGTCTGCTGTGGGCACACTGGGCAAGGTTTAGTGCCTGCACAGCCAACTAAGAGGCTCAGCTGTTGGAACTGCGGGCACACTGATATGTAGAGTTATCTCTCTCTCTCTAGGGCTGCAGTCACTTTTGGAGTGGTGTGGGTCCCTGCTCAGGCTGCTTGCAGGGTGGGGTGGGGCAGGAGTTGTTTTGAAGGACCACCTGCTGAGGCAGACAGGTCCCCAGGTGAAAGTGGGGCAGGGCGCTCGCAAGATAGGTAGAGAGTATTAGTGGTAGTTCCCACAAGTGTCTGGCTATCTACACTGGGGGAGGAGAAGAGAAATGGTGCCCACCAGCACTTTTGTTCTGTAAGTCTCCTGAAGAGAATTCTCCCTGACCCTCCAGCACGTGTTGAGATTGGTAATGAATATCCTTCACATATACCCAAGCACTTTTCAAACTGCTGTTGCTGTGCTGTGTCTCAGGCCAAGTTATTTATTCTAGCTCTTTAAGGGCTGGGACTTAGTTTCTGATTGCCCTCTGGCTCTCCCAGAGTTAAGGCCTGCCTATTTTTCAAGTACCTGGACTTAAGAGCCTTGCTGATCTTAAAAGCTCCCAGTTAATCCCCACTGGTTTTCAAAGCCAGATGTTACTGGGAACTCATCGTCCCACTGCCTGGGGTGCCTCATGTGGGGTCTGATCCTCTCTGCTTCTCTGTGCTTGTGGTGTCCCACCTGTTTGTGGTTAGTCTCACAGGAGGTTTGGTTCCCAGGTGTGTTTCAGCCCTTCCTACCCTTTTCAATGTGGCCTCCTCTCAACAGTTAACTGTGGAAGGTCTGTTCTGCCAGTTTTCATGTTGTTTTCAGAGTTACACAGAGGTAGCTATTATCTTGGTGTGTTTGTGAGATAGGATGAGCTCAGGATCCTCCTACTCTACCATCTTCCTGACACCCCTGCTTCATGTATTTTAAAGCTCTATTATTTGGTACATACATCTTCAGGGTCATTGTGTACCCCTTGTTGAAATGATCCTTTTATCATTCTGAAATGACCCTTTAATCCCTGGCAATATTTTTTACTATGAAATCTACTTTGATATTAATATAGACCTTCCAGTTTTCTCTTGATTAGTGTTAGCATAATGTATCTTTTTCCATTCTTTTACTTTTAACTGATTTGTATCTTTAAAGTGGGTTTTTTTGTAAGCAACATATAGTTGGGTCTTGCTTTTTTATCCAGTCTTATAGTCTCTGCCATTTATTTGGCATGTTTAGACCAGGATTCAGCCATCTGCAGCTCATAGGCCAAATCCAGCCACCACCTGCCATTGTAAATAAAGTTTTATTTGAACACAGCCAAGTGCATTCATCTGCATATCATCTGTGGCTCCTATCACCACAGTGTCAGAGTTTGCCAGACTGTTGTCAGACTGTTTACATTTAATGTAATTATTAATATGGTTGGATTTAAAACAGCAGTGTTGTTACATGTTTATTTGTCCCATCTGTTCTTTTTTCCATTTTTCCTCTTTTTCTGCCTTCTTCTGGATTAATTGGGTATTTTTCATAATTTTGTCTGATCTCTTGTTGACTTGTTAGCTGGAACTCTCTTTTCATTATTTTAGTGATTGCTCTTCAAGCATTCAGAAAATAGAGTGACTAAACCTGGAATTCTTGATTCTCTTACTCAAACTTTATCCATCGGAATGTTGTTACCTAACTTCTGTGACATTAAGGTTGTATATGCCATAGCCTTTTTTCCTTCTGTTCTTTACAGAAAAGAAAGAAAGGGTAGATAAGGACTTTTGTTTGCCTGTATGTGAATAGCCAAAATAAATGTCTTATGTATGATGTAGATTGAGAGTAGAATTGCAGTTGTAGGAACATCCGCCTGTAAGATATGTTACATTGATTCATTATTTTGAGTCACTTTTTGAAGTAGTGATTATTGAGATGCTGTAATATAAAGTTCCATGTCTTTGCAGGCCACCATTAATATCGTTTTTGACCGAGTTGGGAAAACTGATCCTGTTACAAGAGGCATCGAGATCACTGTGAATTACCTGGGGATCCAATTTGATGTAAGAGTTGTATGAAGATCCTGGTTTCTTACGTTCCTATTTTATCTGCTATAAATTACAATTGTTAAGATTTTAATTCCTTACTTAATTCTGCCTTTGTTCTTCCCACTCTCCTCTGTTTTTTGACATACTCATATGGCAGATTTGTAAGGGACGTAAAACCAGAAGTGATGGCTGGTATTTATTACTGTCTTAGATGATTATTTCTGTAGTTCCTCCACTGCTTTTCTGTAGCCAGCTCCCCCTCCCCAGTTTCTCCCCACCAAATATTGGATACTTCTCTCTGTGATACATGAGATCATCAAATCCAAAACTCACCTTTGGTTCCTCTAGTAGAAAATTAACTACTAATTAGTGTTCCACGTTAGAAGTGAAATTATGTCTGCCGTAAAAAGCTACCAATTAATCTACCAATTAATTAATGTGGACTTTGAGCTAAAGATGGTGACTGTAACCTGTGCAGTTTTCATCTTCTTTCTACCTGTTTTATAATACTGCTATCATTAAACACACTCTTGTCCCAATTTAAGTTTAATGTCTTTATTTATAGAAGAATATATTTTCCAAATGCATGTGTGTATGTGTGTGTGTATATATATACACACACACACATATACATGGCCAGTGATTCTAGATGATTAGCACTTTGATATGATTGTAAGAGTCACATCTTTAGTCCCTCTGAGGGCCATTTAGCTGTGCTGTGAATCTAGTGACAGACTGCGTGCTCCCCTGAGCCATCTGCCTCAGCTGGACATGCTCCTAGTAGCTAGATAAAATGAAAGCGAACCAGAGCAAATTGAGCTCCAGTCCTTGATGAACAACTCAAAGCACATGGTTTTTGATGATAGATCAATAGTGTAAACTTTTTCATGTGAGGGAGCATGGTATCTTTCCTCCAAGTAGTTTATAAATTATGCCACAAAATAGGCTTCACGATTGCTGATACGTGTTCTCTTTTCCTCTTTTAAAATGTTTACTAGGCTCAATTATTAGAAGTGTTCTTCCTTATCAGTGCTTTCTGAGGCTAGTTGCTGTGGTGTCTCTGTATTTCATCTATTATCCATCTGTATACTCCACGTTTCAGAACTCTGAATAACATCTTTTAGATGTTAGTAATAGCAGTTCCCCCACAGACACTTTTCAGACCCAAATCAAGCACAGGGTCCCAAAGCCACCTTCCACTATGAAGCAAACCAAGAGGAGAAAAAGGTAACATCATGTAATTCAAGTGAAGGGCAACTGTTTCCTAGACCATAGCTGAGAACATTTACATATTCTTTTATTATGAAAAAAAATTTCTTTAAGTTTTGGGTGATCAGGTCACTATCATTCACAGATGTTAAAAATAATTTAGCTGCTATTTAATTTCAATTTGTGCTTTTCACTTAACACACCAAAGCTGCGTCATTGGTTCCATCTGTGTTTCTTTGACTAGTGTTTTTTTCATTACCACTGCACTTGCTTGCTTCCGTCCTAAGTTTTGATTAAGTCTGCTTATTAAGCTATCCACTGCAGTCTTCCTAGGTGTAGTTGCCCCTTACTCATTTTCCTCCCTCCCTAAAAAATTTTTTTAAATGAGGTAGGGCCTAATGAAGTTCCCTCTCAGTCACATAAGAGATCAGAATGCATCAGAAGAATAGCCTTCACATGTCTCTCAACAGAGATTTCACACATACTTTTCCTTCCTTTTATGGTGGCAGGTGAAGTTCTGGTCTCAGCACATTTCCTTCATTCTGGTTGGAATAATTATCGTCACATCTATCAGAGGATTACTGATCACTCTTACAAAGGTATGTTGTAGCACTGAGTTTAAATTATGATTTGCGGGGTGCCTGGGTGGCTCAGTTGGTTAAGCGACTGTCTTCGGCTCAGGTCATGATTCTGGGGTCCCAGGATCGAGTCCCGCATCAGGCTCCCTGCGCAGCAGGGAGTCTGCTTCTCCCTCTGACCTTCCTCCCTCTCATGCTCTCTCTCTACCATTCTCTCTCTCTCTCAATAAATAAATAAAAATCTTTAAAAATAAATAAATAATGATTTGTGGCATTTCATGTGACCATGAGATAATTTTACCTAATTAAGATTTCTGCCTTCAAAGAACTTGAACAGTCACAAGTATTTAAAAGACCTACAATAAAATTTTTTAAAATTGAAACTGTTCAGTAAACTTATGATGATGGATTTACATCATATGCCAATCAGATGAGTACATTTACCAAAGGTCATAGGATGAGTTCACAGTCTGTTTTGTTCACTGATGTGGCACCAGCATCTAGGAGTAGAGACTGGCACATGGTAGGAGCTCCAGAGATACTTGGAATGGATGAAGAGGTATTTGAGGTTAGAGTAACTTTGAGAGTCACTCATAAGGAGGACATGTAAGTAGGACAAGTAGAATGTTTTACTATTTTCTGATCAACATTGGGAGGCTTTATGGAGGCAGAAGGTAGGTTTTCTCTTGGAGAAGAGGTGTGGGGAGCCCAAGATCCAAGAGTTGTTTGAATGAAAGGAGTGAAGAGGTTAGGAGGAGAGAAGAAGAGAAGGGTACTCCAGGCATCTAGCACAATTTTGGAAAGAGCTCAGGCTAGTAATAATTATAAGGGCGGGGGGGGGGGGATGGGGTGGCTGGGTGATAGACATTGGGGAGGGTATGTGCTACGGTGAGCGCTGTGAATTGTGCAAGACTGTTGAATCACAGATCTGTACTTCTGAAACAAATAACGCAACATATTTTAAGAAAAAAGAAAAAGAAGAAGATAGCAGGAGAGGAAGAATGAAGGGGAGTAAGTCAGAGGGGGAGACGAACCATGAGAGAAGATGGACTCTGAAAAACAAACTGAGGGTTCTAGAGGGGAGGAGGGTAGGGGGATGGGTTAGCCTGGTGATGGGTATTAAAGAGGGCACATTCTGCATGGAGCACTGGGTGTTATGAACAAACAATGAATCATGGAACACTACATCAAAAACAAATGATGTAATATATGGTGATTAACATAACAATAAAAAATTTAAAAAAAATAATTATAAGGGCTTGGGGTGGCCTGGAGTAATCTGTTCTAATGTTTTACAGTGATATATGAAAGTCCTATGTATCACATAGTTTCTGAAAAATTTGATAGCGATTGGAATCCTTTCATGTCCTAATGTAATTAGTTCTTAAAACCACCAGCTCTCCTTCTGGGGACACCATAGCTGGATCCTTTGCTATCAGTCTGTTTCTCTTCTTCACAGCATTAATCATATCTGTTGTTCTCTACTGGATTGCTATGGGGAATAGACACTTTTCACTAAATGTTAAGTATGCTACTTAATGTTCTTGACACAAGAATCCAGCAGCACTGCATAAGTTCTTCTCCCTTTCTTGACAGTTCTTTTATGCCATCTCCAGCAGTAAGTCCTCCAACGTCATTGTCCTACTATTAGCACAGATAATGGTAAGTGTAATGACCTAGTTTTATGCTTACAACTGTAAACTACCAGAAGTGTTTATACTTCTAAATATTGTAACAATTCCCTTTGGTCCTTCACCACATTCCAAGTGACTTCTGGATTAACTTACAGGGCATGTACTTTGTCTCCTCCGTGCTACTGATTCGAATGAGCATGCCTCTAGAATATCGCACCATAATCACTGAAGTCCTTGGAGAGCTGCAGTTCAACTTCTATCACCGTTGGTTTGATGTGATCTTCCTGGTCAGTGCTCTCTCCAGCATCCTGTTCCTCTATTTGGCTCACAAACAGGCACCAGAGAAGCATATGGCACCTTGAACTCACGCCTGTTACAGACTGCTGAAGGCCAGTGGTGTCAGAATTTGGATATAAGAGAAAAAATGGAGGGGACCAGGGCCTCATGTTTTTTAAACAATCAAAATGCTGAGGTAGCATATTCTGCCTTCAGCGTATGCCTCCCTCCTCTGTGGATACTGTGATCATGAGTAGCATTAGCTAGAAGATGGGAGCATGAAATAACCTTAAGCTAGCACTCAGCTGAGAGCATCCCATGTAGGTTTGAGGCTGGTGGGAAGGGGGGTGGAAAAGAGCCAAGAAACTAGGTGGCGGGAATACACTGGAACTCTGCAGGTAAGGGGAAGTCTCAGGTAGCTGGGCCGAACATCCAGAATTTCTGCTCAAGGCTCACATGGAGGAGGTTGTGGCTTTCCCTTAAGATTGACTGTCATTAAAATCAGATTGCAACCCTTTGGCCTTAGCTTCATTTTCTCCAGGATAGCTTGGTGTAGTGTGCTTGTGCAATCTAACATGAGTTGGCATCCTCCTGCCAACCCCTGCCCTGTTAAAATAACCAACAGGTTCTCTGTTCTTGTCTGGGGACGGGACGGTGTGCTACTGAAATAGATTCTACCAAGAGCGTTCAGGTATATCATCTTTATTGATTTCCTTTTAAGTTAGTATTATTTGAGAGTGAATTACTGTACATTCAACTTGGTGATGATGTCTCATTTTTTTCTTTCCATCTGCCTCTCATGCTGTGTGGTAAAACAATGAATAACTTAACTAGAATAAGTCATTTTCCTATGCTAGCCCCTACCTTCTCCATCTGTGAAAGGAAAATGCTGGAAAATGTTATAGAACATTGAGAAATGCAATTTAAGGAAATCCTTAGTTTTATCACCAGGAAGTCTCTAAGATCTTATTCTGAATTTTATTATGTTTTGGGTTTCTAGAGGCAAAATGAAGGTTACAGCTTAAAAGCAAGTTTACCAGAAACAAAAGCACTCTTGAGGTTTTATCAGCTAACCAGGAGGATTCAAGTATACTCTAAAGGCATTCTTAATGGCATCTATTTTAGCAGCCACAACATTCTTACAAAAGCATAATTTTAATAGGCTCATCTGCTCAGATACTTTATAGCAGCTCTCACATATACAGATTTACAAATCCTCTTTAATGTTCAAGGAGCCTATAGAATTAAGAGATATCATCATACAGAGAAATGTAGTGAAGTTGAAGCTTGAAAGAAATCACATGAAAAGAATGTGGTTCCCGTCTTAAGTTGACCATAAATAAGCCATCTATTGCAGTAGTCACCCCCAAGGCAAATGACAACAGAAGACAGTTCCCCATGATGAACTGGTTTCCAGAGGAGTTTGTCTCTACCAGAGACGGTGAATGGGTGGCAGCTCATTCTTCGGGAAAGGATCCCTACTCAACACCCAGAAACAGCTGTCAGCCAACGCCATTAGTTGCTCTCATCACATCTCTGTATCTTCAGAATTGGAAGAAGAATGTGAGGCTGTACTGTACGCCTGTGCAAAAGAAAACAAAAGATCCGTAAGTGCGAGAGCATGAATGTCAGCAGTTGCATGACTTAAGGCAGGGAGTAGAGTCACTCACTAGAAGCCAGGTAACCTGAATTGTACACTTGGCTTTGTTTCCAGCCTGCCGTTTGACACTAACAAATTTCTTAATATCTGTAGATCTTTTCTATAAAGCTAACATATGCCTATAATTGACTTGCTATAGAAATTTAAAATTTTTGAAAGACAAAATGCTTTCTTTGCTAAGCAATCAAGAATGCAAGGTCAGTGGCTATTGTGTGTGCTCTGGTCTGAATGTTTGTGTCTCCCCAAAATTCATATATTGAAATACTAATCCTAAGGTCAGGTGATGATATTAGGAGGTAGAAACCTTTGGGAGGTGATTAGGTCATGAGGTCAGAGCCCTCGTGATTGGGATTAGGGCCTTATAAAAGAGCTCCCCGCCTGCCGCCGAGCTCCCTCTCCCCTTCGACCATGTGAAGACATGGCAGGAAATTGGCCGACTACAGCCTGGAAGAGGGCCTTCCCCAGACACCAAATCTGTCCTTCAGAACTGTGAGAAATAAATGTGTGTTGTTTATAAGCCAGCCAGTCTATGGTCTTTTATTCTAGCACCCCAAACTACATGTGTCTTCATTAACAAATAGTATTTAATTTATATGACCAATCTGTAAAATTAATGTAAATGGAGTAGAATTAAATGTAATGGAAAGAAGAATGATATAAAACTTTTAGAGTCTTGGCATTGCCATACATTTCCTCTATGAACTTGGACAAAAATATAAAAGACTTATCAAGGATTTTAATCGAAATACAGAGTAATGCTTATTCCTCCCTATTAATAAAACACAAAAACCTGCCAATTATCTTAAAAACAATGTCTCTAACCACCACCATTCATTTTATGCTTAGCATTATTAACCAGGCACTGTTTGAGGCACTTTAATAGTCTTAGTTAATAGAAAACAAACTGCGGGTTGCTGGAGGGGAGGTGGGTAGGGGGATGGGGTAACTGGGTGATGCACATTAAGGAAGGCACTCAGTGTCATGAGCACTCGGTGTTATATGCAACTGATGAATCACTAAACTCTACCGCTGAAACTAATATACTACATGTTAATCGATTTTAAATAAAAAAATGGTAATTTTTAAAAATAGCCTTAATAATAATAATAATCCTACAAATTATCCTTGGTTTACAGGTGTGGAAAGTGAGGCAGAGAGCGAATAAATCCATTTGCCCAAGGCTGTTAAGTGGCAGAACCAGAATTTATACGTAGTCTGATTCAGGTTCTTCTGGTGGTTCCATTATAATTTTGATAAACTTTTATTGCTTGATTTTTCTCTGGACAGTTACCATCAAGTCCATGCCATGAAAAAGCAGCTTGTCCTCCTACCACTTCTCTCCACCAAAATAATTTGACTTGCTTGTTATCTTTGTAATTTTCTATTATTCTAGGAAATCTGCGGTAAACAGAGACCTGAAGTGTGTTTATTAAGGACTTTATCATACCCTGATAGGTTAGATCACTAAAAGAAGTCTATCATCACTCACTCGTTGTTTTGCCATGTGTGAGTCGTGCTCTGGTTCTGCCAGTGTTTCTTCTTTGGAAGCAGTGGGGGCATCCAGTGGATCAGCCATGGAGGAAACAATAGGGATTTTCTTAGCCTGGAAATAATCATAGGCCTTCTTTCCACAGACTAAGAGTGTGACATTCTCCCCACTGCTCTGAATTCTGTCTACCACCTTCTCATAGGGTTCATCCGCCACGTTCACTCCATTCACTTCGATGATGATATCTTCATCCTCCAGCCCTGCCAGCTCGGCAGGGCTGCCCTTCAGTACCTATAAAAAGAAGTTCTGAATTATCACTTCCAGACACGGATAAAGGAATGTTAGATTAGCTTCCCTTCAGAGGAGAGAGGAGTCTGAAAATGTGTTCTTAATCATATTCTTTCTCCCTGAGGTACAGGAGAAAGGTGCTCTAATGCTTTTCTGCTTCAGAAAGTTCCAACGTCCGTACGCAAATGAGTACCATGGGAAGAGGGCTCCAAGATGACAGCACAAAGAAGACTCTGAACTCACCTCCTCCCACAGACACCAAATCTACACCTACATAAAGAGCAATTCCTCCTGAAGAACTGAGGGCTGATTGAGCAGCGTCTGCACAAAAAAAAGATAGACCACATAGAGAACAGCAGGAGATGGAGACACAGTAATGATGAGACCCCCACCCTTGCCACTACAAACCGCAGTAGGGAGGGATAGCACTGAGGAGTCTGCACACAGATTCCCCAGACCTGGGGCACAGGGAAAAAATAGCAGTTTCAAGAGCAACTAGACTCTGAAGGGAACCAATTTACTAACCGTAGAGCATCCAGCAAATGGTAGGGAAACTGCTGAAACTCTCCAGGGTCACACGTCTAGCAAGTACCACTGTTCACATTCCCTCTCCAGCTTGAGAGTGCAAGACCGGCCCAGGGTCCAGGTGCTCTAGCCATCCTGCCGCCTCAGCAAACCCAGGGACCCTAGCCCACACCAGCTCCAGGTGGGCACTGTCTGGCGCACACCAGGACCCCCTCAGCTGTCTCACCAAAGTAGTCATGGCAGAGGCACCCCAAGATCACCCCAGCCAATGCCTGCTTCAGCCATGCCACCAGAGCTGGCTCCACCCAAAGCCACTAGGTACATGCAGTCTACACTGGGGACATTACTACACAAGATCACTCCTTTAAGACAGGGTGAGGTAGCTCTTTTGTCTAATTCATAGAGACAAACACCAAAAGTGAAACAAAATGAGACAGGAATATGCTCCAAATGAAAGAATAAGATAAAACTTAAGAACTGAACAAAATGGAGATAAGCAATCAACCTGAGAAAATGTTCAGAGTAATGGTCCTAAAGATGCTCACCAGACTTGAAAGAAAATTAAATGAATTCAGTGAGAACTTAAAGAAACAGAAAATATATTCTTTATCTCTAATTGGTTTTTATAATAACTGAAATTTTAAAATACCCTAGAGGGAATCAACAGATGATACAGAACAGATCAGTGATCTGGAAAGACAGGTAAGCACCCAAGCTGAATAACAAAAAGAAAAAAAATTTTAATTGAAATAAGGTTAAAGAGTCTCTGGGACAACATCAGAGTGTGGTAACATTCATGATATAAGGATCCCAGAAGGAGAAGAGAGAAAAGGACAGAAAGCTTATTTGAAGAAATAATTGAAATAACTGAAAACTTCCCTAACCTGGAGAAGGAGACAGACGTCCATGAGAACCCCAAGCAAGATGAACCCAAGGAGGAACAACAAGACCCATAATAATTTAAGTGTCAAAGATTAAAGATAAAAAGCAGCAAGAGAAATGCAACTAGCTACATATGAGGGAAATCTCATAAAGGCTATTAGCTGACTTTTCAGTAGAAATTTTGGGATTATATATATAATCCCACTCCCCCTCTGGCCTGCAAAGGGCTGAAAGGAAAAAAACCTACATGCAAGAATATTCTACCCAGCAAGATTATTTTCAGAACTGAAGGAGAAAGAAGTCACAACCCCTAAATCAGCCTTATAAAAAATGTTGAAGGGCCTCTCCAGGCTGGAAAGAAAAGGCCATAACTAGAAGAAAATTATGAAAGGAAAAAATTTCACCAATAAGAGCAAACATAGTAAAGGTAGTAGCTTAGTCACTTATAAACCTAGTATGAAGGTTGAAACACAAAAGTAGTAAAATCAATTATATCTTTAAAAAAAGATTTACAGGGCGCCTAGGTGGCTCAGTTGGTTAAGCGACTGCCTTCGGCTCAGGTCATGATCCTGGAGTCCCGGGATCGAGTCCCACATCGGGCTCCCTGCTCAGCAGGGAGTCTGCTTCTCCCTCTGACCCTCTTCCCTCTCGTGCTCTCTGTCTCTCATTCTCTCTCTCTCTCAAATAAATAAAATCTTTAAAAATAAATAAAAAAGATTTACAAAATAAAAAGATATAAAATAAGACATGCGCTAAATGCAGAGGGGAAGGAATAAAAATGTGCCTTTAGAATGTATTTGAATTTGGGACGCCTGGGTGTCTCGGGCGGTTAAGCATCTGACTCTTGATTTCGGCTTGGGTCATGATCTCAGGGTTGTGAGATCAAGCCCCCTGCATCGGGTTCCACACAGGGCGTGGATCCTGCTCAGGATTCTCTCTTTCCCTCTGCCCTCCCTCCCCCACACTCGTTTGTGCTCTCACTCTCTCTCTCTTAAAAAAAAAAAAAACATGTGTTTGAATTTAAGTGACCATCAACTTAATATACACTGTATATATTTCGGGTGTTCTATGGGAACTTCATGGTAACCATAAACAAAAACCTGTAATAGATACCAAAAAATTAGAAAGGAATCCAGGCATAACACTAAAGAAAGTCAAGAGTCATAGGGAAGAGAGCAAAAGAAGAAAGGAATAGAAGAACTACAAAAACAGCCAGAAAACAATTAACAAAATGTCATAGGTACATACCTATCAATAATTACTTCAAATGTAAATGGTCTAAATGCTCCAATCAAAACACAGTGGGTAACTGAATGGATATAAAAACAAGACCCATTTATATGCTGCCTATGAGAGACTCACCTCAGGCCTAAAGACAGGCTAAAAGTGACAGGCTCGAAAACATACCATGCAAATGGAAGCCAGAAATAAAACCAAGGTAGCAGTGCTTACATTAGATAAAATAGACTTTAAAACAAAGACAGTAGCTAGAGATAAAGGCTCTACCTAACGATAAAGGGAACAATCCAACGTAACAATCATAAATATCTATGCACCCAACATAGAAGCACCAGACTACATAAAGGAATTATTAATAGACATAAAGGGAGAAACTGACAGTAATACAATAATCACAGGTGGCTTTAACACTCCACTTACATCAATGAATATATCATCCAGACAGAAATTAATGAGGAAATGGTGACTTTGAACAACATGTTAGACCAGATAGACTTCACAAGTATATACAGAACATTCCATCCAAAAATAGCTAAATACAAAGCAAAAATAAATATCTAAATATACATTGTTTTCAAGTACACATTGAACATTCCCCACGATCTCGCATCAGGCCACAAAACAGGTCTCAATAAATTTAAGATTGAAATCATATCCTGTATCTTTTCCAACCACAACAGTATGAAACTAGAAATCACAAGAAAAAATCTAAAAAGAACACAACATACTACTAAACAATGAATGGGTCAACCAAGAAATCAAGGAGGAAATCAAAAAATACATGGAGACAAATGAAAATACAATTCAGTCTTTGGGATGCAGTAAAAGCAGTTCTAAGAAGCTTATAGATATACTGCCCTACCTCAAGAAACAAGAACATTTCAATTTAACCTTATACCTAAAAAAGCTAGAAAAAGAACAAAGCCCAAAGTTAGTAGAAGAAAGGAAATAAAGATCTGAGTGGAAATAGAGACAAAAAAAAAAAAAAAAAGAAAGAAAAGATCAATGAAATCAAGAGCTGGTTCTCTGAAATATAAACAAAACCGTATACCTTTAGGCAGATTCATAAAAGAGGACTCCAAATGAGAAATGAAAGAAGTTACAACCAACACTATAGAAATAGAAAGGATTATAAGAAATGATTATGAAAAATTAGAAGCCAATAAATTGGACAGCCTTCCCTCTTGCCACTTTTATCCAGCATAACACTGGAAGACCTAGCTGTGAGAATCAGACAATAAATAAAAGGCATCCAAATTGATAAGGAAAAAGTATAATTGTTATTATTTGCAGATGGCATACTATACATAGAAAACCCAACAGACCCACCAAAAAACTATTAGAATAAATGAATTCAGTAAAGTTGCAAGATATAAAATTAATACACAGAAATCAGTTGTGTTGCTATACACTAATAAAGTAGCAGAAAAAGAAATTTAGGAAACAATTCTATATACAATTGCACCAAAAAGAATAAAATACCTAGGAATAAACTTAACCAAGAAGGTATAAGGCCTGTACTCAGAAAACTTAAAAGACATTGATGAAAGAAACTGAAGATGACACAAACAAATGGAAAGACATTTCATGCTCATAGATTGGAAGAACAAACATTGTTAAAATGTTCATACTACCCAAAGCAATCTATAGATTCAATGCAATTCCTACCAAAATACAAAAAACATTTTTCATAGAACTAGAACAAATAATACTAATTCGTATGAAACCACAGAAGAATGCCAAATAGCCAAAGCAATCTTGAGACAGGAGAAGAAAATTTGGTATATCACAATCCCAGATTTCAAGATATACTACAAAGCTACAGTAATCAAAACAGTGTAGTACCGGCACAAAAAATATACACATAGAGCAATAGAACAGAATAGAGAACCCAGAAATGATCCCACACTTATATGGTCAATTAATCAACAGGAGGCAAGAATATACAGTGGAGAACAGACAGTCCCTTCAATAAATGGTGCTATGAAAACTGGACAGCTACATGCAAGAGAATGACCACTTTCTCACACCATACACAAAAATGCTGGAATAGGGAGTGAATAAATCATGAGGTAAAAGGTACGGCATAGGGAATATGGTCAATGATACTATAATAATGTATGCTGACAGATGGTAGCTACGCTTGTGGTTGAGCATAGCATAACATACAGATTTGTCAAATCACTATGTTGTACACCTAAAACTAATGTAACGTGTCAACTATACTTCAATAAAAATAGATTGGACAACCCAGAAGAAATACATACATTCCTGGAAACAGAATCTTCTGAGTCAGGAAAAAATAGAAAATCTGAGCAGACTGGTAACCAAATTGAATCAGGAATCAAAAACTCTCAACAAACAGAAGTCTAGGACCAGATGGCTTCACAGGTGAATTCTACCAAACATTTAAAGAAGAGTTAATACCTATCCTTCTCAAAGTATTCCAAAAAATAGAAGAGGAAGGAAAGCTTCCAAATTCATTCTACAGGGCCAGGATTCTACAAGGCCAGTTTTTGATAACAAAACCAGACAAACACACCACCAAAAAAAAAAAAAAAAAAATTACACATCAATATGCCAAATGAACATAGATGCAAAATTCCTCAAAATACTAACCAAATTCTACAACATAGTAAAAGGATCATTAACCATAATCAAGTGGGATTTATCCTAGGGATGCAAGAATGGTTCAATATCCACAAATCAATATGATACACCACATTAACAAAATTAGAGTTAAAAATCTAATGACCACCTCAATAAATGCAGAAAAAAACATTGACAAAATTCAACATGATAAAAACTCAACAAAGTGAGTTTAGAGGGAACATACCTCAACATAATTAAGACCCTATATGACAAGCCTTCAGTTAACATCATACTCGATGGTGAGAAGCTGAAAGCTTTTCCTCTAAGATCAGGAGGAAGACAAGGATGTTCCATTCTTACCACCTTTATTTGATGTGGTAATGGATGTTCCAGCTACAAAAATTGGAAAAGGAGGGGTGCCTGGGTGGCTCAGTCGGTCAAGCATCTGCCTCTTGGTTTCCACTCAGGTCGTGATCTTGGAGTTATGGGATTGAGCCCCACATCGGGCTCCACGCCAGTGGAGAGTCTGCTTGGGATTCTCTCTTCCTCTGCCCTTTCCCACCACCTCTCTCTCTCTCTCTCTCGCAAATAAATAAGTAAATCTTTTTTAAAAAATTGGGAAAGAGGGCGCCTGGGTGGCTCAGTTGGTTAAGCGACTGCCTTTGGCTCAGGTCATGATCCTGGAGTCCTGGGATCGAGTCCCACATCGGGCTCCCTGCTCAGCAGGGAGTCTGCTTCTCCCTCTGACCCTCTTCCCTCTCATGCTCTCTATCCTCATTCTCCCTCTCTCTCAAATAAATAAATAAAATCTTTAAAAAAAATAAAAAATAAAAAATTGGGAAAGAAATAAAGGACATCTAAATATGGTAAGGAAAAAGTAAAACTGTCACTATTTGACATGATACTACATATAGAAAACCCTGAAGACTCCACCAAAAACTATTAGAGTAAATGAATTCAATAAAGTTGCAGGATACAAATTTAATATATAGAAATCTGTTGTGTTGGTGTACACTAATACCAAAGTAGCAGAGAAATTTAGAGAACAATTCCATTTTGGGGCACCTGGCTGGCTCAGAAGAGCATTCAACTATTGACCTCTGGGTTGTGAGTTTGAGCCCCACACTGAGAAAGAAAGAAAGGGAGAGAGAGAGGAAGGAAGGGAGAAAAGAGAGAGAGAAAAGAAAGGGAGGGAGAAAGGAAGGAAGGAAAGAAATCCCATTTACAATTGTTCCAAAGAGAATAAAATACCTAGGAATAAACGTAATGAAGGTTAAGAAGGAGGTTTGGAAGTCCTGTACTCTGAAAACTGTAAGATGTTAATGAAAGAAATTGAAGCCGGCACACACATATGGAAAGATAGCCCATGCTCATGGGTTGGAAGAATTAATAGTGTTAAAATGTCCATACTACCCAAAGCAATCTACAGATTCCATGCAATTCCTACCAAAATTCCAATAGTGGTTTTCACAAAACTGAACAAAAGATCTTAAAAATGTGTATGGAACCACAAAGATCGCGCATAGGTAAAGCAATCTTAAGAAGAACAAAGCTGGGGTCTCACAATCCTAGATTTCAAGGTATACCACAAATGTACAGTAATCAAAACTGTGTGGTACTGGCACAAAAATAGACACACAGATCAATGGAACAGAACAGAGAGCCCAGAAATAAACCCACGCTTATATGGTCAATTAATCTACAACAAAGGAGGTAAGAATATACAGTGGGGAAAAGACAGTGTCCTCAATACATGGTAATGGGAAAACTGGAAAGCTACATGCAAAAGAATGAAACTGGACCACTTTCTTAACACCACATACAAAAATAAACTCAAAATGGATTAAAGACCTAAATATGAGACCTGAAACCATAAAACTCCTACAAGAAAACACAGGCAAAAATTATATGCCATCGGCTTTAGCAACATTTTTCTAGATCTGTCTCCTCAGGCAAGGGAAATAAAAGCAAAAAAACTATTCAGTTTAGTTTGACTATGTCAAACTAAAAAGCTTTTGCACAGCAGAGGAAAGCATCAACAAAATGAAAGGGCAACCTAGTGAATGGAGAAGATATTTGCAAATGATATATCTGATGAGGGGTTGATATCCAAAATATATAAAAACTCGTACAACAAATAATCCAATTAAGAAATGGGCAGAAGACCTGAATAGGCATTTTCCCAAAAAAGACACACAAATGGCCAAGAGACACATGAGAAAAGATGTTAAACATTTTTTTAAAGATTTTTATTATTTATTTGAGAGAGAGAGAGCGAGAACACGAGCAGGGTAAGGGGCAGAGGGAGAAGCAGACTCCCTGCTGAGCTGGGAGCTTGATGCAGGGCCCGATCTTAGGACTCCAGGATCATGACCTGAGCCGAAGGCAGACATTTAACTGACTGAGCCACCCAGGCGCCCCAAGATGCTCAACATTATTAATCAGGAAAATGTAAATCAAAACCACAATGAGATATCACCTCACATCTGTCAGAATGGCTAGTACCAAAAAGATAGAAAATAACAAGTACTGGCAAGGATGTGGAGAAAAGGGAATGAGCCCCAGTGTGCTGCAGAGGGGAATGTAAATCAGTGCAGCCACCATGGAAAACAGTATAGAGATTCCTCAAAAAATTTAAGAGAAAAACCATAAGACCCATTGATTCCACTTTTGAATATTTTCCCACAGAAAGCAAAAACACCAATTTGAAAAGATCTGTGCCACCCCTATGTTTACAGCAGCATTATTTATAATAGCCAAGTTATGGAAGCCACCTAAGTGCCCACTGATAGATGAATGGATAAAGAAATGTGTCTGCGTGTGTCACACAATGGAATACTACTCAACCATAAAAAATAATGAAATCTGGGCGGCTCAGTCGTTAAGCGTCTGCCTTCAGCTCAGGTCATGATCCCAGGGTCCTGGGATCGAGTCCCGCATTGGGCTCCCTGCTCAGCGGGAAGCCTGCTTCTCCCTCTCCCACTCCCCCTGCTTGTGTTCCCTCTCTCGCTGTCTCTCTCTCTCTGTTGAAAAATAAATAAAATCTTTAAAAAAAAAAAATTAAAAAAAAAATAATGAAATCTTGCCATTCACAACAACATGGATGGGCTTAGATAGTATTATGCTAAATGAAATAAGTCAGACTGAAAAAGACACAAGCCTTATGATTTCACTTATATATAGAATCCAAGAAACAAAACAAAAAGAAATAGACTCAAATCCAGAGAAAAAACCGGTGGTTGCCAAAACAGAGGTAGATGGGGGATATGGGCAAAATAAGCAAAGAAGATAAGAAGTACAAACTTCCAGTTATAAAATAAGTAAATCACAGGAATTAAAAGTACAGCTTAGGGAATATAGTCAACAATATTTAATAACTGTATGTGACAGTGGTAACTACACTTACCAATGATGAGCATTTGTAATGTATAGAATTGTTAAAACACTATGTTGTACACCTGATATCACATTGTATGTCAACTACACTTCAATTTTTTTAAAAAATCATTAAGATCATCAGAAGAAAAAAATGTGTAGCATAAGTGGTTGAATATCATATTGTAGGTCTTCTGGGTTGAAGGCACTAATTCACTTTCATAGGTTCTCTTTCTGCATTCCCAACTCGAGAGCCATAGGGACAGTCTTCTCAGTGTCATTCCCTACAGGCTAGGGACATTATGCCAAATGTGTCAAGGTAAACAGGTATCACTCCCAGTCAGAGCTGACAGTGACTGTCCACTACAGTCATGTCAAATCGCTCTATTTGATTTGAAAGTCTCTAAAGACAATTAGGTGTTTAAGAAAAACAAAAGATGTGAGCTTAGGATGTACTAGTCACTCTCTTAAAGGGTACAGGACCATGACAGCATTTATTTGAACCCAAGTGAGACCCTCAGTGCAGGCTTTCAATGTAACCTTTTTACTAAGCCATCAGTGAGTGGGAGACACTCTGGCTGTGTTCCTTGGGCTGCTAGAACCAGATGACCATACCTCTTTGATGAAGGATCCTGGCCGACCCTGAATCGCATTTAGGTGAAAGCCATAGCCGTTTTCCCCTTTAACCAGCCGGCAGAGCTTGGGCTTATGATCTCCTACTTCCTCTGTGGTATCTGGACTTGAAACCTCTAGAGGAGCAGGTGTAGGAGCTGGAGTCTCCTTGACAGAACCATTAGGCAGTTCTTGACTTTGATAGTAGAGAAATGGAGAAAAATGAGCCTTTTGAAAATAAAGGGAAAAAACCATTAATTGTAAGTATGAGTAGTTACACGTTATTAAATGTGCTAGCTTAATTTACAAGGTGTCATGCATGTTCCACAAGCCTGGCCGACACCTCTGGTTGCAGACAGTAAAATTTCTATACTACCCGAACCAGAAAAGGTATAAAGAAAGATTGAGCTAGACTATGGAGTAAACAAATGCGCATATACATAAAAGCAGTACAGGATGTTGTACAAAGATCCAAAAATAAATAACAAAAATGCTAGTTTCTTTTGACTTTGTGTAGTGAGCAAGTCACTGACCAATTGTAGGCAGTAGCCCTGTGGGAGATGACACACATCGAGTGACTTGCCCTGTAGCTCATGCATAATAGGTTCATCTAGCCCTTCCTCCTCAGTAAGATGGTCTTCAGAGCTCCTTAAATACATCAGAGAAAGTGAAACAAAACACTATTTTTATTACCATCTGAAGTACACAGAGTAATTTGTTGTACTCATTTTACTATTTTGTGTTGTAATCATTAGCTGACACTCCTGTTATGCCAAACTCCTCACCATCTTTAAGTATTTCTAATCCATCTCCACTCTCAGACCATCCATGCGAAGAAGGGAGTGATGGTCTTGAATACAAAAGAGACATAGAACAGGAAACATATGACTGATTTTTTAAAAGAATTAAAAGCTTAGTAGACTGTGGGTTTTAATTGAGAATTAAAAGGGTAGATTTGGGTATGGTAAGATCCTGGATCAGCAGTTAAATTGCTGCCCACAAGTATCCAGGACATTTGTTAGGCCATGAGGAGAAAATCAAGCAATTGAAAGTGAGTACAATGTGTGCTCTGCCCCAAATTGTACTGTTCAGGAGCCTGGTTAAAATTAGATTGGGTCCTCTGGTTATCATCTCTCTCACTAACCACAAGACCACATCTTCCTTTCTAAATAAGAGTCACAACAGCTAAGAACTCCTACTTACCGGTTCAACTAAATTTCAGACCTTTCAGTGATATACTTGCAAATGTCCCACATTTCTTTCTATCTTTAAAATGTAGAAAGTTGGGATGCCTGGGTGGCTCAGTCAGTTAAGCATCTGCCTTTGGCTCAGATCGTGATCCCAGGGTCCTGGGATCGAGTCTTGCATCAGGCTCCCTGCTCAGTGGGGAGCCTGCTTCTCCCTCTGCCTGCCACTCCCCCTGCTTGTGCTCTCTCTCTCTCTCTGACAAATAAATAAATAAAATCTTTTTTAAAAATGTGGAAAGTATCAGTGACTCATTACATACAAAAATACCTCTGACATCACTACCCAACAGGCAAATCAACTGTATGTGATAGTAGCAGCTGATCTTGAAGGTAAGTACAGTAACATTAAACAGTCAATGAGTTTTTATTCACTTTCAGTTATTTGGGTGCCTAGTATGTGCCAGGAACTGCTTTAGGTGTTTGTTTTATTCAACGATATATCTCAAAGTTCCCCCCATCGCGCCACCCACCCCTGTATGGAACCTACTTTAGAGGGGTTTTGTGGGGAGGGAGAAGATGGGGACAGGCATATTTTTAGATCAAAGTTCTCTCATATTAAACCAGAACATTATAGTTAAATCATTGTCATAAAATGAGGAGGGATTGGAAAAGAAATGATGCCAGAATTCCCTTTACAGCAGCCAGAGCAGTGACCTCCTGACTTCTGCCTAACTTTCCCACCAAATGGGAGGTCACCAATTGGCAAAAATGGCTCCCCCTGTTTCTGGCAGCTTTAGTTGTCCTTAAGCCAAAAGCTAGCTCCCTAGACATTCTCTATTTGATTAAGCTATGCCCCACAGAACACCTCAAAAATAAGGACTTCTTGCATGTAATAGCCTTCTGAATTCTTTTATATATATGTGTGTATATATATAAATGTGTATATTTATATACATGTGTATATTTTATATATATGTATGTATGTTTATATTATATATATATATATATATATACACATTTGTAGAACACACACACACACACACACACACACACACTATATTTACACCTTTAAATCCATTCATTTGACAGTGGACACTTGGGTTGATTCCATCTTTTGGCTCTTGTGACTTAATCTGTGGTCTAACATATGGTCTATCCTGGAGAATGCCCTATGTGCCCTCGAGAAGAATGTGTTCTGTTGTTGGGTAGAGTGCTCTGTACTTCTGTTAGATCTAGTTGGTTTCTTTTTTTCAAGTCCTTGAGTTCCTTATCTTCTGACTGGTGGCTCTATCCAGGATAGAGAATGGGATATTGAAGTCTCCCAACTATTATGGTAGAACTGTCTATTTCTACTTTCAAGTTTGTCAATGTTTCCTTCATGTTTTTTCCAGCTTTATTAACGTGTAATTGACAAATTTTATATATTCAAGGTGCAGAGCATTATTTGATACACATACACATTGTGAAGTGATCACCACAATCAAGGTAATTAACATATCTATCACCTTACATAGTTACCATTTAGCCTTTCAAATTCTTGAAGATGTTCTTTCTTCTCCAAAGCCTATGCTTATTCAAACTCAATATTCACATGGTAATTTCCCAAACCTCTGCCCTGATTACCTTTCTTGACACTGGCCTTCTTATAGTCATGTTCTCACAATTGCACACAGTGTTGACTTAACAAACAATATTTCTATGGGCCAGGCATTATTCTGAATGTTCTAAATATTACCTCATATAACCCTTCACAGTAGCTATCCCCATCTTACAACTAAGGAGGCAAGCACAGGGAGGGTAACTTGCCCAAGATTACATTACTGGTCATTTGAAGTATGGTCTGAACAACTCAGTAAAGTAGTACTATCATCTCCGAAGGCCAAGTGTCAGTTAAGGTAACTTTAAATTGCCTTTTTGGGGGCACCTGGGTGGCTCAGTTAGTTAAGCGACTGCCTTCAGCTCAGGTCATGATCCTGGAGTCCTGGGATTGAGTCCCACATTGGGCTCCCTGCTCAGCAGGGAGTCTGCTTCTCCCTCTGACCCTCTTCCCTCTCATGCTATCTCTCATTCTCTCTCTCTCAAATAAATAAATAAAATCTTTTTAAAAAATTGCCTCTTTGGGGGTGGGGGCAGCTACTTAGAGTATCATCAGGTTTCTGGTCTTTTTTTGTAGTCCTCAAATCAGGTCTCACCATTTGGTATTCATACAATTTTGTTTTAAGTTAGTTTAGTACCTGAAATTTATTCCTGTTTAAACTTAAACTTATTAGTTTTTATTCTTCTTTCTGTCCTGACTGGATATTTTGAATATTATAATCTCTAGCAAATTAATTACCCATCAACACATTAAGCCATCTGTATGACTTAAGTATGTTAAATGTTTTCCATGTCTCCATCTAAATGTGGTAATAAACTAGCTTAGGATAAGAAGCATACCACTGGAGACATCTATTCAGACTGACATTGTTCCAATATCAGTTATTCTTCAGGTATGGTTGTACAACTAGCTAAAAACCCATTCATTGTTCTATCATTCAGTTCACTCTTTAATTTTCTTCACACAGTATCTTAAAACTGCTAATCAAAAAATGTGCTGAAAAAAAAAAGTGCTGAGAGGGTATATGCTATAATGAATTAAGAACTTGGGTTCAAATACAGGCTGAGGTGGGTGACTTTTTAAAAAATGAAGTTTAGAGAGACTAAGAAATTGCTAATCTATAAAAAGGGGCTAATGCCACCCCCTACCATATTCCTCCCTCTGTATTATTTATGCACCTTTGGATGCTTCCATTATCGTATATCACCTGGAATGAGTCCATCTTTGTTCATCTTTGTGACCATCACCTAGTGAGGCAGATGGGTATCAGCAGAAGGCCCCCAAATGTCTGTTAAGCTAGACTGAACACCTCAGTTCTTGTGATAAAGTTAAAAGATTATTTAAAAACAAAACATGCAGATAACACCTGTTGTGATTAAAAGCTGAGAGCAAACAGGGTTAGTTTGACACTAAGGTTAGTCTTGGTGAATTTCTCTTTCCTTGCTAAGGGCTTAGAAGCTGTTTAATAATCCTTTCTAGGCTTTTACGTGGGGTTAATGGAATTTATTGGTCTCTAGTTTTAAAATCTGGTTGTTTCCTATTTGGGAAAGCTAGGGCTACATGGGCCTATTTCTAGGCTATTGTTCATAGATTTTTCTCAGATTACCAAGAGTAATTCTGTAGTTACATTTGCAAATTCCTTCAAAATTTTGAATCTAAGGACTTAAAACTCATGTACCAATCACTTGGCATTCTCTTATCACTACCAATTTGAACTTCGGTGCAGCCTTAATGATGATTGTTATGCCCTTCCAGTTTGAAAATCAAAGTGGTAACTTAGCCACAGTGTGAGGACTTGAGTGAATGGACCCAACCTTAATTCATGAATATGAGGCCTTAAATTATTTACCAGTCTATACATGTTGTCCGTCTCTTTGTCCACCACCAGCAGCGAAGTCTGATCTCCGCCCTTTCTAATCATCTCTACCACACTGTCGTGATCCAGGGATTCCACAGACTCGCCGTTGACAGCGACTAACAGGTCATTGTTCTTCAAGCCAGCCTCCTCTGCTGGGCTTCCAGAATCTATGTCCTTGATGACTTGACCTACCCTCCCCCAAAATTAAATAAAATTATCAGAAAGACCCCTAAATTAAGCTGTGGAATTTCTGCTGGAGCCAAAAGCTCTGATAACATGAATTTAAAAGGCACGCTGCATACGACTGCCCCTCCCACTGGCACCCAAGGCAGACGATAAGCACCCTATCCAGCCTCATTCCCTGCCCACAACTTACTCCAGGAACAAACTCAGCCATTACCGATGAAAGGGTCTTAAAGAAAAGAATCATGTTGTTACCAAAGTGTCTGAGACTCAATCTTGACCAAATAGAGTGCTAAGCGGTAAGAGTCAGCAAGTTCCCAGGAAGTCAGTGAGCATCCATGTACCCATACATCTTATGTAGAAGCTAAGCCATTAAAATGGGGCAGGAAGAAGAAAGAAGAACAAAACCAAAGAACTCAGAGCCTGGGAAACGCATGCTGGCATTTTAGTAGCAACTGGGTGTATTCAACTGTGAACGTGTTTGTGTGTGCATGCCTCAAGGATGCAACTTTACCCTTCCTCTCCTGACTTGAACTGTCTTCACCAGATGCCTTTAGATCTCTCACACTTTTTTTTGTCCCTCCCACTATTTTAACAAGTCCCAGTTTCACTTTTCCAGCTAGCTCCTGGGCATCTCCAACTAGATAGCCCATAGATCCCTCAAATGTAACTTATTCAAACCAAAAGTCATCTCTGCCCATCTCCCGCATCCCAAAGCTCCTCCCCTTGTCACCTGTCCATGGCAGCACCATCACCCCAGTCACTGATATTTAGCATCAATTCTTCCTCAGTATCCACTCCCCATATTCTAATCAACTGCTAGGTCATTTGATGCTACCTTAATATTTGACACATCTCTTCTCTGGCCCCACTTATTCTACCCTAAATGCATGTGATATTAGTTCCTGCCTTAAATTCTACCCAATGACTACAGCACCTCACCGACTGCTCTCCCTGCCCCTAATCCTTGCCTTCTCCAATATAGATCTGCCTTCAGATTCATTTTGATGCAACGTCTGACCAAGTCATTCCTGGGTACAACAGCACAAGTGCGGGCTTTAGAACTGAACAAGACCTGAATTTGATCCTAGTTAAGCCACAACTATTTGTCCTTATAATAATTACTGTATCTTCTCCCTGCCCTCAATTTCAGAAATTCTTCTTGCAGGGGGAATTATTAGGAGTAATTGAGATATATAAAGCCCCAAGATGCTATAGGCTTAATTTTTTCCTCTCACACTGTTGAAAAAACTTTTCACTCCCCATCAACTACAGAGCCAAGTCCAAACTCTTCAACTTGGCATTAAAGGCCCTCATCATCTCTTTCCAACCTACCTTTCTAACGTGGTTTTCTGTGCCACGCATTAGATGCCAATCAAATGGCACCCATGTTTCCCTGCTTTGTTCACACAATCCTATCCTCATGGAATGGCCTTCGTTGTCCCCATACTGTCTACTTGTCCAAATTTTATTCACACTACAAAGCCTGAGCTCAGCTGCTATCTCTACCATGAGGACTTCCAGTACTTTTTTAGTAAGAAAACCTTGTTCCAACCTTGAATTCCAATAGTACTCTACCCCATATTAAGGTGCCCCTCACCATCCACCTTCAGTTATGGACATATGTGTGTATTTCCTCTACTAAATAGTGGGCTCCTTGACTGAAGAATTCCTGTTTGATTCACCTGATATTCTATAAGGCCCTGAGGATGTTTTTCTATAATATGAATCAAATTAATATTTGATGAATTAACATAAATATACATAATGAAAAGAAAATAGCAACGTCTAGAAAAACAGTTTGCCTGAATCTGCATTCCTTTATATATTCAGCTTCCCTGTAAGGACCTTAGTTCTTTCCTTGTTGAGTTATAAGGAATCAGAAAGATTCCAGATTCTGTTTGATTCCCAGATCCCGACCCGCACCCTTGACTCAGATCCAGTGGTATATTGGAGTTGGCTCACACCAGCTTGTGAGAACTATTTCTGTTCAAGACTTCTCAACTTTGCATTCTGTGACAGCACATTCATGGCTTGAAATCAGATATATTGGGAGGATTTACACCACAAAAAAATCAACCAAAAAAAAATCAACAAATGCTACAAATTAGGGCATTTTTTTTTCCCCCAAGAGCAAATTTACAGCATACTACTGCCCAGATCCAAAATTCTGCCTTATCGTTCTGCTAAGGAAACCTTGAGATGCCCATCATGGCCCCCACGGAAAATGACCCAGCCATGCTCTCTAGTCTCTCACTGTCCCCTCATGTAGCTGGTAGGGACTCGGGGGCCTAACAGAACTCTGGAGTCAGAGTGGGTGAAGAATTAGATGGTTACACCACCAGGTTTTCTGTTCTTCTAGTGCCTTACCTTTCTGTTCTGGACCTGCCCTTAGATAGAAACCATAGCCATTGCTTCCCTTCTTCATCTCCACAACCCGGGGCTGGTGGGGTAGCAATTTCAAACTGGCTGCTTCTCTCTTGAATTTTATCTTCTGCTCAGCATGGAGCTTGTCAGTCTCCTTGTCCACCAGCAGGAACACAACTTGGCTTCCAGATTTCTTCACCTGCAACAGCACACACAGGTAAGACTGACAGCCATCTCCAAGAACAATGCTGGGAAGCAGGGAAGTTTCTTCCTAGAGGCACACAGTCTCTAGATTCGATAGAAAAGATGGAACGTAAGGTCCGAGTTTAAACTATAATACTCTCTCCTACCATCTCACTGGTCAACACTACTATCTCCACGTCCACAGTTGTGTTTGCCTTTGCTAAGTATGCCCTCACCCACACAGATGCTAACTGAACCCACGTGAGAGCTAGAATTCAGAAAACCCAGAAGGGTACTTAAGTCTAGAAAAGGAGTTTGGAAAAGCAAGTTAAGGTCTACTTTGAAAAATTATTCTACCAAGAGAAGATAAAGTTGGTCAGGTTTCAAGGTTCCATATGACCTCAAAGGAAAACCTCAGAGTGTTATCCATGTGTCATGGAACTGTGCAGGGATGTAAGATTTGGGGTAACGGGTCTTCCAACACTCCCCATGTGTAGCTCTATATCCATCACCACATTGGTTATCTGCCAGCTTGCATTAAAACATTTTAGTAAAACACCAACTTTGTTATAAATTCAGAGGGGCCTCCCAATCAGATACAAATAAGATCCAAAAGCTAAAGTTAATGATTCTTTAGAATGCTTTTCTCTGAAAACCCGAAACTAGCAAAGGTCTTATTCCAAAACCCTATGTTAACACTGCTCACACCTCTAGTGAGTCTGTTCCCTCTTAATACAAAGGGTTCGTTAACTTCTCATCATTATATTCCTCCCATCATAAACTACTATTCGTGTCTTCCTGTGACTTCCAGTAAGAATAGAGTGAAAGGTAAGAAAAGTACCCCTCTGGGCTATACCTTGGCAACCACTTCCTCGTGGCTGGCATCTTCGACATTCTCTCCGTTCACTTCAATCAAGTGATCACCAGCCAGGACACCAGCTTTCATAGCCACACCTTGAGGCATTATATCCGTCATGTACACTCCCTTTTGACCTGCAAGGGTGTGGACAAGCATTACAACTCCATTACACAGAAAGTCCAACTATAAAGGGTTTTCTCCCAATAATGTAAAATTACAAATTCCAGTTTTAAAGTTAACTCAAATAGACTTGGGCTTCTGATCTAGAATTAAAATTATAGCTCCTGGCACAAAGCTTGACACAGACATTATTCGGTTGGTTTCTATTGATCTGAATAGAATTTCTGAGCCCAACTGAATGCAAGGAAGGAATCTCAGAAGGCAGTGGCCTCTTGAACCAGAGAGCACCAAGCCATGGTCATGCTGCATCATTGCATCTTACTCCTGTTCTTCGCCTTTGTGGAATTAGAAGGCATCTGCTCCATTCTGTCTTCTTTAATTAGTATTATCACCAACCATCACATACCAATGAAGTCACTAAATCTCGCTCATGCAGGCTTAGGAGGACAGAGGCACAGAAGGGCAGGGATGTATACACATGTACAGTCAGTCTGGATTAGCAGATGATGCGATTTAGGTGCTTCTTATAGAAATGCTGTCAGTTCTTTCAAGATATTCATATTTCAACCTAGGCAAAGGGTAACTTCACAATGACAAAATAAATCATTTGTAAGGAATAACAGTATAAACTGCTGCCTTAAAATTTCTCCCATTACCTTGTTATATATATGTCATGAAGAAAACATCTCCTTCATAAAGCTAATTTAAACCATTTATTATGTACATTAGCACGAGTCAAATGAATAAAATCTAAATTATGATCATTTTTTCACCATTTTGCTGATAACAGACTTCTAAGAAATGCCAAGCTTCCCCTGCCCACCTGCGCCATTATGTTTAATAATGGACAAACTTGAGAAACACCTCTTACAGCTACTTTATATCACTTACTACAGGTTAAATAAGCCTTGAAAACAATTTTATGTTTACTATTGGTCTGCTATTTATTACTTACCCAGTTATGACCAGTGCTCCTCCAGTAGCAGGAAGAACAGAGGAGGAGCAACATTCAAGGTAGAACTAAAAGGCTTATATAGCCTCTATGGCTCTACCCTAAATCCCAGAGACACCATTGCAGAACTACGACCAACTGAGCAAAAGTCTGCCTGCATCTCTGAAATTCTAGAAACAGAGCTTCTAGTACTTCCTGAGGGACGCACCTTCGAGCCATGGAGGCTGGGTCACAGCTGAAGGTCCTATTTCAATGTCACGGGATGGAGGGGGGATGATTAGTAGAGTAGCATCTGCGGCAACTATAACAGGGTCTGGCCCGTCAACAGGTGCTCAAGAATTGGTTGAATAAATGATCACCTGGGCACTCAGGAGTGAAAAGATAGCATCCTTCTTCAAAAGTAGCTCTTCTAAAGAATCTCTTTTCTTGCCTTTTATTCCCTTCTCCCCTCCACCCTCACCCTAAGGCAGCTAGGAAAGAATAACAAAGAAGCAGCAGCCCTCTAACCCTCTGGTCTCCAAGGCTCAGCCTAACAGGCACTGGGGGACAAGAGTGACCAGTGGCCCTCCCCACCCTGTGCTGGGTCCAGTGGTTTGATCCTTCATTGCACAATTGTCAAAGCAAGGGAAGGGCCAGGGAGGGAAGAAGGGAGGGAGGGAGAAGCTGCAACTGGATAGCCACAGCATCCGAAAAGTTTGTCAAAGAAGTCAGTAACCAATAACAATATCTTCCTTCTGGAAATTCCACCCTCAACTCACCTTGGACAGTTTTCAGAGAGAAGCCATAGCTGTTCCCCTCCTTCACCAGGTAGCAGAGCCGTGGCTGGGTCCAAGTCTGTGCTCCTTCGTTCACCACAGAGGGCAGTTTCTTATCATTCACACTCGGCTCTTTCTGACTTTGACCCAACTCTTTCAAGTCTACCTGCTTTTTCATTGCTTTCTCATAGGAATCCCCATCCAGAACTAGTAAAGTCACTGAATTCCCACTCTTTCTGACCAGATCTACAACCTAGGAGGAAGAAAAAGATAACTAACCAAAAACCTTATCAGCCACCATAGGGGATGCTCACCATCTAGCTCATTCACTGGATCTAGAGATTCTTGAATGCTGACCCCTGAAGCCCAAAGAGTCAGCAGGTGGTGCTCCAGCCATCTAGACCCCATCCCTCCTAAGATCCAGGTACAGATTGGAGGGGGCAGGGCTCTAGCACTGTTGGAACCCAGAGTATGGCCGAATCCTAGTTGGGCTAATGGAAACAGCATGGCATAGTAAAAGGAGCATCCACCAGGAGGTAGGCAGAACTGGGGTAAGGTCAGACCCTCCCATGTGTTCACTGCATGAACACATCAGCAAGCGAAGTTCTCTGAGCCTTTGAGCCCTCTTCTGTGAAATGGTGATATATAACCTCATGGGTTGTGATGAGGGCTCAACAAAATAATGAATATGAAATTGCCTAGCATAGTTCCTAGCATATAGCAAACATGATGCCTATTGGCTCTGACACTATTCAATCTAGGAATAATTTTACAGTTCCCAGTTAATTGGAGGGGACTTGATTAGTGGGCAGAAGGGATAGCCATAAAGGGGTCTGCCTTGCCAGTGGCAGCTGGGAAATCTCCACTGACCCCAAAAACTAATCAGCAGAGATGTGGAGGCTAAAGAGATCCTAGAAGAAGAACCCCAGATGTCCCATTCACCTGCATATGCTCTTCCTTGTCCACAAAGACACCATTGATCCTCAGAACTCGGTCTCCATCCTGGAGGCCCGCCTTCTCCGCTGGGCTACCCTTCTCAACTATCCGGACCAGGTGGCCAGCAGTGTCCTTCTCGATTCGCAGGAAGAAGCCATAGCTTTGCCCTTCTTGTTTAGACAGCTCACATTCTCGTGGATGGAAGGTGGAAGCCATTTCTGTGACAAAAAACAAATGGATAAACCCATGGGAAAGAAAATCTGTTTGGAGAGAGAACCTTTGTCCTCCCTCTCCCATGACCCTTTTCTTCTAACCATGCCAAATCTAGGCTATAGCAACACTGGGGGTATAGGAGGCCACCTTCCAGGACTTGCTAATAATTTCCAAGTTTATTTCCCAAGGATGATCTTTTTACTTGAGTTTCAGACCCATGTATTTGGCTGGGTCCTGGACACAGATTTTTCAGTTTCAATAGCTCCAAAACTAAATTCCTCTTTGTCCCCTGATCTAAAGAAAGTAGGTTTAAATACCTGACCTAAAAATTTTAAGAAAACCCAAGCCCACTTTCATTCAAATATTTGAAGAGCCTCCCTAGTCCTCAAGGACTAGGCCTTGAGGATAAATCTGTGGGCAAGACAGACCTATCCTTTGCCTCTCATATGGGGAGAATGTATTTTGACAAGAACACATAGTGAATGATATGCTAGGCAAGAACAGAGTGATAAGGCAGAATATAACAAAGGGCGTTGGGAGTAGGGAATGGGACGGACAGAGTTAAGAATGGCTTCCTGGGAAAATGACTTTCCTAAGACCTGAAGGACTAGTGGGAGTCAGGTGAGGTAGGACCGGATCAGGAAGATGTCAAACAAGTGGAAACCAAGACACCAGCCCTCAGAGCTGGCCTGATCTATTGAAGAGGAGATAGAAAAGTGGTTGACCAGGACCCTGAAGTTCTCGTCAGAGCAGAGTAGGGATGCCCCCCAGAGAAAGGACTCCTGGGGCCGGGTCCCACTTCTTCCGCCTGAGGCAGCTTCTGCTTCCATCCATCCTGCCCTTCCTTTTGCTCCACTGCCAGGAGCGAGGTCCTGGGCCACAGAAGAGAGGACAAGTGCGAAAGCACCAGTTGGGGCTTGGGCACCCAGTTCCTACGGGGAAGGCTCCTGCCAGTGTCATCCATCCCTCTTGGCTGAAGCATTTTCTTTCACAGGAGAATCAGAATGGAAGCCAGAATGGCTGGTGCAAGGCAGAGGCCTGAGTTCCCTACCAGTAAATCAGAGACTAAACCTTCTGTCCCTTCCCTCCTGGCGGGACAGGAACAGAGGAGCGCAGAGGGCGTGGAGGGTGGGGTGGAGGAGAGACAGCGAAGTCCTCCAGGCCCCCTAGCAGCCGCAGCGTAGCCATTCCAGATAGCCATCTCTGGCCTTCACGCCCACAGAGACACCCAGTACAAACAGGGCAGAAAGGCTCCCACTGCCCAACAGCTTAGCCACCCAGCAGTCGACAGCCACGCCCCCAGCGGCATGAATGACTAAGCAGTCGAGGAAACAAACAAATAGACACCGTTTCAAGTGATCTCTCTCCAAGGGCCCAGGGCCTGAGCCCTCCCCACTGCGTCCCCAGGGAAGAGAAAAGTGGAGCCCCAATCGTGTGGTCAGTGGCCACCCCTGGGGGAAATTAGCAGCTCTCAGAGCATGACCTGCTGCCAGAAAGACACCGCTTTGGGAGGAGACGGAGAAGAAGGGTACTGGGGGGAACTGGGCACCACCAGAGGGGAGCTTCCTCACATTCAGGCACCTGGGCTGCCTGAATCTTTACTTTCCTTTCTGCTGAGCATCTGGCCTGCATGTATCAGTTCCATTTTCTAGCTCAAACCCACATCTATATCCAAACTCACCTCTAGATCCCTCTCAACTTTCAATTTCATAGGACTAAAAACTGGAAAAAACCAAAGCCCTCTGAAATTTGGGGGTAATTATAGAGAAACTTCAACCAAAGCCCACAAAATCCGCAACATGTCCTTATAATCAAAATAAAGGCCATTCAATGCTGTGTTTTTGTCAAAAGATGAGATGGTCTGTGGTCAACATACGCATGCTCATTTCTAAGGCACTCACCCCCAAAATTCAGCCTTCTCACACCCTGGGTGTCAGCCACAGGATCATAATCGCTATCTCTGAAGGTCTGCAAGGATAGAAAGTGAAACCTCCTTGCCAGCCAGACCAGTGCCCTTAGGGAAGGGGTAAGAGGCATCATTTTCCTCAACAGATGCACAAGAAAAGACAAAGCTCTATTTTTTGGCAAAATCCCAAGTTATTTTTTTATTTGGTGAAAGTTTTCAACCAACCAGACGCCAATCACTCAGATCTGCACTTGTGTCTTTGAAGCCTCGGGCACTGGCTGAGAAATGGCTCTGAGTCCCCTCTGGCCTCCTGCCCCCATGTCAGCCCCTCCCCACAAAGCAGCCACTGACGCTGGTGCCCATGCCACACTGATGAAATATTGAACACCTTCAACCATAGCAACAGAGAAAAGCAGGTTGATACCCCAAAAGCCAGGCCTTCCATGGGACCCTTGGAGCCCTAAAACCATTTCCTTTGCCATCTTGCCAAGTGACGATTCAACTAAGAGACAAAGGGCTGGGCTCTGGTCCAGTTCCAGACCTGGGTCCATCTGGTGTTACTCTGGCCCCTAAGTCAGGGTTGGGATCCATGACTTTAGCAGGATTATCACTGCTCCGTGATGAGGATGCCTGCGACTGTGGAACACAGGGCCCAAGAGAAAGGATCTTTGGATTTAAGGGTACTCATTCTGGTTTCTTCACCCCCATGCCCATCTTCTGCTTCCTGAGAAAATCCAGATCGGACCCCTATGGTGGGCAGGTATTTAACTAGTGAAGGCATATGGATTTCTATAACATGGTACCAGCAGTCATCCAGTGCTGGAGTCCGTTAAATCTTCTAGGCTTTATTACCCAGTTCAGATAGCCAAAATAAAATACTGGAAATGAAAGGAAGCTATAACCCCTGCTGAGCTCTGGCAAGAAAGTCAACTCTTGGCAACGAAGTTGCTTGTCTGTGGGAAAGAGAACAAAGTGCTGGCTGGTAGGGCGGAGAGCCAGAGATTTTTTTTTTAATCAATCTTAATTATTAATCATACCTTCAGACCCCACCTTCTTCCAAAAGAATTAGATTATTGCTACCAGGAAAGAGAATAATATGCCCAAGGTCAAGAAGGAACGTTTGGCACACTTTAGAAGTTGGGGAGGTGAGGCAATGACAACAGAGGAGAGTGGGCAGGACTTCTGGGTGTGGCCAGAGAAGAAAGAATTGAAGCCACTGGGTTATTTTCCACAGGATAGAAATAGCTGGGGGGACCCAGAGACTCTTTTGAGCCCAAGGCAGGTCAAGGCTTCTCAGCTCCCAGGCAGCCATCAACAAGGGCCCATCTCTGACCCCTAGTCAAACCCCCTCACCAGCAGCCTGCACACAGAGCAGAAGTCTGAACCAGTAGCTACTCTGGAGAGGAGCATGACCTACATCAACAAGACCCAAAAGCCAGGGAAGTTCAGCTTAGTTGGCTGAGGCTAAGTCATCTCATTTTCCCCTCCATTTGTGTGTCTGGGGCTGGAAGCTGCAGGACTTTCCTCAGCAGGGCTAGCCCAGGAAGCAGTGAGACTCCATTCAATTGATCCCGGTACCAGTGGGACTTGTAGGGAAGTGTGCCTGCCCTGTCACCTTGCACATCAAAAAGTTCTCTATCAAAAAAAAAAAAAAACCAATCTGATTGTTAAAAATGGGCAGAGGACCTCAATAAACATTTCTCAAAGGGATACATGAAAAGCTGCTCGACATCACTAATCACCAGGGAAATGCAAATCAAAACCACAAGGTGTATCATATTACATCTGCCAGAATGGCCAGTAACAAATATAAATATATATATTACTCAGCCATAAAAAAGAATGAGATCTTGCCATTAGCAATAACATGAATGGACCCAGAGGGTATAATGCTAAGTGAAATAAATCAGAGGAAGACAAATACTGTATGATTTCAGCTATATGTGAAATCTAAAAAAGGAACAAATAAAGCAGACACAGACCCATAAATACAGAGAACAAACCGATAGTTGCCAGAATGAAGGGGGTGGGGGATGGGCAAAAGGGGTGAAAGAGTGGGAGAGACAGGCTTGCGGTCATGGGGATGAAAGGTACAGCGCAGAGAATACAGTCGATGGTACTGTACGGTGACAGACGGTGGCTACGCTTGAGCATAGCACAACAAAGTTGTCCACTCACTAAGTTGTACACCTGAACTAATGTAACACCGTGTCAACAGGGGCGCTTGGGTGGGTCAGTCGTTAAGCGTCTGCCTTCAGCTCAGGCCATGATCCCAGGGTCCTGGGATCAAGCCCCGCATTGGGCTCCCTGCTCGGCAGGAAGCCTGCTTCTCCATCTCCCACTCCCCCTGCTTGTGTTCCCTCTCTCGCTGTCTCTCTGTCAAATAAATAAACAAAATCTTTAAAACAAAAAAACACTGTGTCCACAACTATACTTCAAGAAAAAATAAAAATAAAAAAAATAGACCATTCTCTGTTCTAAGATACTGGTTATATGTGGAAATTTCTTTTTAAAAGAAAGATTTTATTTATTTATTTGAGAGAGAGAGAGTGAGAGAGAGAGAGCATGAGTGGTATGAGGGGCAGAGGGAGAAGCAGGCCTCCCGCTGAGCAGGGAGCCGGATGTGGGGCGGGGCTCAATCCCGCGATTGCAGGGTCCTGGGATCCCGTGACCTGAGCCGAAGTCAGATGCTCAACCGACTGAGCCACCCAGCCTCCCCGCATATGGGGAAATTTCTAATTAAAAACTATCATAAAGGGGTGCCGGGGTGGCTCAGTCGGTTGGGCATCTGATTCTTGATCCCAGCTCAGGTCTTGATTTCAGGGTCGTGAGTTCAAGCCCTGTGTTGGGCTCCACACTGGGCATGGAGCCTACTTAAAAAAAACAAGACAAAACAAAAAAAACTATCATAGGCACGAATGCTCATAAGCCTACCCAGTATAGGAAACAGGGGTGGGAGTGAAGGGATCTTAAAGCCATTTAGCTCATCAAAAATCCATGATCTAAAAATATGTGAGAGTCTGGAGGTCAGTGGGAGCCTGATAAAAATACAAAGCATTTGTCAATACAAAAGTCACTGAAACATCCCCTGTTCCAAAA